AAATGCAAAAACCTACCGACATATTAATATATTATTTTATTGATTATGTGATACACGATAATGGGGAAAAGCACAACTCCTCCATATGAAACTAAAACAAAATATTAATGATTTGTTTTCAAAATACATAATACCCCACCTTTTAAAAGTCAGATAAACTATAAACTTTTTTCAAAATGTAAATTTAATATAATGGACCGAGTATTCGTGAATTATTTATAATACGTCCGACTAATTCAAAACCTTATAACTTACGTATAATAATCATGTTCCGTAATAGTATTTGGCCATAACAAAGTTTAGGATTTTTTTATGGTAATTGCTTGCTTTTTATCCACCCTAATATTATAGCAGTACAGCCCTAGTCCAGGATGGCGGTGAAGGTGATTTAGATGGTTCTGTTGGCGGCATGGTATGGGGTAGAGGTGGAGTTGAGTGGTAGATTATTGTGTTAAGATTCTCAGGTGGTCGGTAGTGTTCGTCCACTTATATACGCATAATATAAATTATATATTATACATAGATAAGTAGATAAGAATGACGGTCATTGCTTAACTGCCGAGACAATAAGCTGTATTTTGTTTGCAAGCAATAACACGTAAAACGATCATCGATAAAAGTAACACGAAATATTTAGAATATTCCAGGCATAGAAAAAAGATTGAAGAATTTAAATCATTCAAAAATAAGTGTAATATTAATTATCTTATACGATAGCAAAAACCCGAATCAAATGCAAGTTCATACGTTTAAAATATATAGTTTTACCTTTATTAAACCTTTTTCACCTTTAGTTTAACGCTTAACTGTTATATGTATACTGTATACATAGAATTTGACAGAAATAACTAACAAATATTATTATTTATTAACTACCTAACTGATATGGTTTGGGTATCAAGTACCTATGCAATCATTTTTTCTAATTAATATCTTAAATTTAAATTTTAATTTGTATAAGCATAATTTGTATAATTATAAATTATTACCTATGCATTTCAAAAAATAAAAAATACATTTAAAAATATTGTTTAGACTTAAGAGCAAAAGTTATAAATCATATTACATGCCTACCGGCTACCAAGTTAGTTTGCTACATTTATCATTTATTTTTGTTAAACCCAATCCGCAGCTGTCAAGAGATGAGTTATTACTTATTATCCCAAGTGCGGTTTGAGCTCTTTAAAAATAAAAGCTCTCGTTAATACGTGTTAATTTTTTTAACGTGACGCACAAATTTTTGTGGTGAACTTTTATGTTCTATTTAATTTAATTTAAATATAAAATATAGTTTAAACACACTCCTATGATCCGATAAATCTTATTTGAACGTCAAATGCTTTTGAGTTATAAATAATAGATTGTAAGAAAAATTCAGTGGGTACTTTAATAGAAAATAATAAAGAATATTTGTTAAAAAACATTTAAGAAATTGACTCAGAAAGTATAATAACATCGCTATAATTGCAGATATAAGGGGATAAGTCCACTTTTCATCATTTTTTAAGAGAAACAAAAAACATGTAATCCATATCCCGGTTATCTGTTGTAAACTGTTCTTAAATGATTTTATTCATCGTTTATTACAGAACAGAGGAAAATTCGACGTTCTTAACATTTGAAAATAGCGTTCTGAAGTAATAGCTTACAATAGAACAAAGATATTATGAATACAATGTTCTGTATCCTTCAAAAAATGATAAACAATAGACATCCCCATTTTGCAGTCAACGATGCCTTACTCGCAGTTAAAAACTTTATTCTGAAGACATACACGATAATTTCATTACTATTACTTGGAAGTTGAAGACCTTTAAAACGTCCTAAAAACATCGTCTAAGATGTATTAAAAAATAAAAAAAATACGTCAACTTCCGAGCCTAAGTACCTAAGATCTATAATTATCGGTATATTCTAAATATAAATTATGTTTCCTAAAAATTAAAGACATTTTTGAGTTTTTATACTATAGTGAAAAAAGTCACCCTGCCGTGTGCAGGTACGCCATGATTGGTCACCGGTGATAACATGTTTGTGTAGATGGAATAAAATATAATGTTTCCAAATGTTGTGTCATGTCGTCGAAGATGAGAGCAGAGAGTGAGCGAGATACTGTGATTGAGAGAGAGAGTGACTGTAAGACCAACGAACCAGACGCTGAAAGAGAGATCTGAGATGTACAAGAACGAATTAACAACAATAATAGACGTATTACAAAGTCGACGTTGGTATTCTACCGGTCTGTATACCTATTATTTAAACTACACACCGCGCAAGATACACTCATGCACGGCTATTATAGCCATCGTTCTCTACAGTCTTATCGCCGGCCACTCTCCTCCCCAACCCTTGACTGCTGACTGCGGTTGATATTCGTTTTCGGGAAACGTATTGTACTGTCATCGTCGTCGTCGACAAAATAATATAATAATAATTGTATAATAGACTGATAACACTGAGGGGCTCTGCGTTCCTATATCCCCGACCGACGTCTCCGGCATTTGTCGGTCGGCGGCGGTCGGTCCAATCAGGCGTATCGATGATTATTCTGTGATTCACGATGACGGTATAATAGTTATAATAATAATAATAATAATAACGATACGGCTTCATCCCGAGTCTGTGCGTGTGCGGTTTGTGTTGTTCGACGAATGCACTTGACGTGTTCCGGAGAGATAGACAACGGAGCAGGAGAGCAGGACGCGAGTACACCTACCCACCACTCACCCCAAAATATCTTTACAGATCTTCCCCTCCCGAGTGTTATACGATAATAATAATATAAACGTAGGTCTTTGGGTACTCTCCAAACATGTATTATATTACAACTATACTGACAAGCTGCTGTTACAGATACAGCGCAGCTATTTCAACCACAGACGAATCGTCACCGTCGAGGCCGATAACTGATAACGCGTCTGTTGTCGACTTTCGGTGATAAGTATATTATTATTATTATTATTATTATTATATAGGTAACGATGATAGTAATAATATTATTATTGAGTTGTTATTGCCAAATCGTTTTCCAGGCGGCAGATTAAAGGTCAACGACCCGCAAACATTACAAAGGGCCCAAATAAAATAATTAATCGGGGCTACACTTTCGTTTATCAATGTAAATAATTCTAGAGTTGAGTTACCTCAATTATTATAATTTAATTATATACAAACATTAATCAGTTGTGGTCTTGGTCTATCTTTATCCTGCGTCATCCGCCGACATCCATTCTCAACAACACAGTCGGGTTTTAGTATTATCCTGCATCGTCTTATACGAAATCGTGGTCAGACATAATATTTGACATTTTTCGTCAAACAAAATTGTTTGAAAATGCACAAAAGTGAATTAAAATATACAAAATAGTATTAAGTACTCACTACTTATACTACTACTCTAGTACTAGGTACTTACTACTGACGTCTGACACTTAGTGAAAAATTAAGGCAGTATAGTAATTTATTAGGTACCTCCAGCAAACTCACATACAACAGTAATATCGCTTTGTGTAATCAAGTAATTTCATTGGAATTTTCGTCACAATTATAAAAAGCGGGTAAGTGGATGTCGCTCAGCTGTACAGAAGGTTACAAGTGGGTGACTGTATGGATGGTGTTAAATTTGAATTCAATGATATAATGTCATTGTATACGAAAAACGCTTCCGAGCTAAAACGGTTTGTCAGCCTCGGATATTATATATTATACTTACTTTGTTATTATTAATACGGTAGCCGGTTAAGTTGAATTTTTATATTTTGTTTATTATCATATTTGTATATAATAATATAATTTAGAAATTTTAAGTACCCAATAATAATATTTTTTAAATATAACACGAAACTGAAAGAACGACTTCTTCTTTTAAATGTCTAATTTTGTGAAAATTCAAACATTAAATAGGTAACTATAAAAAAGATCAAGTTATAGAATAACCCGACCTTGATACAAACTTTTGAAAAAAAAAAATTTAATCCTTAACTACACAATCATTTTTTAATTTTGTCAAAAATTGAACTTAAATGATTATACAAATAAATTAAGCCTATGTATTTTTAACATTTTAGAATATATAATATAATTGTAACAATATAGCAAGAGCCTTGTATAAAATTTTCACACTTTGAGACATGACAAATAAAATTTTATTGATATTTATAGAAAAGGTCTGTATACAGTAAAATATACTGTATTTAGTTCAGTGATATAGAGCCACTACGTACCACTTAGGCAGTTTTTACTCAATTATGATTTATGAGGTTGTCGTCTACTGTACTGCGTAGAGGTTTTCTTCTTCCTCTCCTTTTAAAATTATATTTCAATACTTACTTGCTAGAATTGTGGTAAGATATCTAGATAATAGGATTATCAATTATATAATATGCCACTTTTAAATTAATCGAATATAGAAATCCACAGTTCATCCTTTAAGAGACGCAGTAACAAAATATCTAACCAAAATGGTTTAATGCAGACTAGTACATATTATAATATTAAGTAATATGCACTAAGGTTGTGACGTGATAAAGCATGGCAAAATGATAATGGCGATTAAGTTATTTTTTAAGCGTGATACCATGTTATGCAATCTCTGCAGGGCGTTTAGCTTTTATAATCATCTATAATAATCTATTTATATCATACTTACTTGATGTAGTCAAATGACTGCATTTTAACATCACGGCTGTAAGATAATTTAGGTATAGGGCCATAATTAATTGTAAAATTATGTGTAATAAACAATATATCACACTCATTAAAATACAAATTTACACAAGTCACGATAGGATTTCATTTAGATTTTTTTGTTGCTGGCCGAAATAAAAACATGACCACCGTGTTTGAAATTCACACGGTGCGTTGTACTGACACATTGCTTATTATCCGATACTATTGTGAATGAATTAAGAATATTAAAAATATTAATATTTAAATCTTATGAGTACTGTCTGTAGTTGTCAGTTGTCACTGTATCCTGGGAACAAACCGTATCGCTTATTATGGATGAGGCTGACAAACGGAGCATTGAAAAGCAATCAACGGAAAACAAGTTAGCAAAACGATGCGAGACGCTAAGAAATCACGAAGACGTATCAGGTGATCTTACCATCACTTTAGCCGTCAGTAGCGGCCACGTAGAAATGAGACGTGGTCGCCGATCCACGAGGCGTAGGCAGAAGAGACACAGGAGCCGATCCCGGTCCAGTCGCCGTCGGAGTAGGAGACGGGGTAGCGTTAGGGGTACCGAAGAAAAATACGGAGGAGATGACTACGACATGACTACAGACACCGAAGAAGGCGACGATGACTCGAAAACGGTGGACACGACTGCCAGTCGAGATGGCGACGGGAGGGCAGTCGGCGACGTCGCCTTCAATATCAGACCAGTGGTAGTGATGACGACGATAACACCGACGCAGAGGATACCGATGCACAGACCAACGGCAGCGGTGGTAGAATTTTCACGACAGCAGACACCAAGTGCGGAAATCCTTGTGGAAGCAGACGTCGCCGGAGAAGGAAGAGAAGGAGCAGGTCCTCGATTAAATGGACGATGGGGTACAAGAAGAGGAGAAGTAGAAGAAGAAGGAGAAGGAGAAGGAGAAGGAGAAGGAGAAGGAGAAGGAGAAGGAGAAGGAGAAGGAGAAGGAGAAGGAGAAGTATTAGTTGTTGCTGTGTCGCCGGCCTTGGCAGAGGCGTGTGGAATAACAGGCCACATATTATGCACCACTTCTAATAGCACTGAACCTGACAGAGCCGATAGCACTCAGGAAGATACCTGAGATACATCGAGCTTGGCGTCCCGCCCTACCTCCGCCTTAATCCCCTCTCATCCAATTCTCGTTTATTGCCCAGACTTTTTTAATCGTAAATAAATATCCAAATTTTCAACAATGAGAAAAAACAACCAAATCGTGTATAGTTATTCCCACGTTAGGATTATACATCAAACCATTACCTAATATAACTATACAGCCAAGCCAGCCAAGCCTCAAATCCTCGTTTAACGTTGACTATAGTTTAGTATTGACTTATTCAACGGTGTTTTACTATTACATAGTACAATTTTAAATCCTTAACTTGTTCGTTTTAACAATTCAACAGTTTCTGTACAATGTTGTTTTTATCACACTGCACGTGATACTGCATGCAATTTTATTCAACCTTGTGGGTAGTGCACTAGTGCATACGCACTTATAAGTAGTGCAACCAGGTCTGGACTTTTCCACTTGGATTTTAATATTATTACTAGTACGTAAATACCATTGTTTGATAAGGAACATCTAATGCGCCTTTAAAATAAATAATTATTTTTCATAGAATAATCTGAATATTTTGTTATTGATTCTGCCATGTTTATTTCGTTAAACAAACCATCCTCTTAAATGTAAAAGCTTTTCGTATATATTTTCTATACAAAAGAATTTCGATGTTTCACATCTGCCAGGCGTCCCGCGATGGCTAATTTTTTTTAGATGAATACTCTATGTTTATTTGTTTAACAAGTAGGTATATGGACCCCAACCCTGCTTGGAAAAATTCTGTTTGCCATTTATATAGAACCCAAAGGTCTTTTCAGATAATGCTGTTATCGGTTTTATAGATGTGCAAATCATATGCGGCTTACCGGGTGGACAAGAGTCGTCATCCAGATAGGCAGTTAGTTCAAGACCGTCACCAGGCATCATCCCTAGGGAGGGAATGTGTTTCTGGGAGTCGCTATTATGTTGTAATATGTTCGTAGTATGTCATATTAGTTCTTAATTTTATCGACAACAAGTTGTTTAACGACACTTATCCTGTCCTGCACTAGTTTTCACCTCTTATTTCTTATCGTTATTACGTATTATATATCACTGTGTTATTTATTGTAAGGAACATATTCAAAATAAGTGCGTGTAAAAAATGTCTTCTCAACGTTTTTTTTTTTGCCTAATCTTGTGTTTTATAGGAATCTAACATTGACGTTAAACGAGGATTTTGCGTAAAAGTTTCTGTTTTTCCTTAATTTTTGTTCACTTTTGAAAGATACCAGGAATTTTAAATGTTGATCTCCCCATTGCAACAACTAGATTGTTTTCCCACTGGAAAAGATTTTAAGTTGAAAATAATCATAATATAAAATTTGGACAAGTGGGTACCGCTCTGCTGTACAATAGTTGTCAAGCATGTAATTTTTATAATGTGTTGAATTTAAATTCAATGATAAATCATTGCGCACGAAAAACGATTTCGAGCAGATACGTTGTAGCATATCATGGCATATCATAGCATATACTTGTATAAATAATTAAGTTAAATTGAAATTATACAATGGATATAAATAGTGTAGGCTTTCCGATGAAAAATGTAATAAATAACCATTAATTGTATATAATATACATAGTGGGAATTAAGTAATTTTTACATTTTATTAATTTATATGATGATAAACAGAGCATTAGAAAATATAGGTTAGAAAATGAAATGTCGATGGTTTTTTTTCGTTTTTTGTTTAAATTTTTGTTTAATGTTTAGAAATAACAAAAAGATATTGAAATAATATATTATTCTCAAGACTAGTTATTCATAGATTTCATAGATTTCAGTTAAAAAAATATCATACCATAGTCCATAGGTGATCTCACTGTACATCATTGAGTAAACAACCCGTATGGGTAATGGGTATCAAACAAATATAATATTTGAGTGTAGTTTATATTTCAACGATTAAAAAAAAAAATATATTATGTTGCCTGTACATAAAAATGCAATATTTCTGTAGTCGTATTTCAGTTTAAAAGTATTTGTATGGTTGTTTGTTTTAAATTTGATATAATAATAATACGTGTATAGAAGTTTCACGAATTCATTTCCGAATGAGATCCGAACACAACAATATACCTACCACTTCGGTTTTTGATACTTTAATACTTTTTTTAAACTGATGTAGAAATTATGTACTCAGAAAATGCCTAGCGATATTCCGAAATAATTACAATGCAAAAGCGATATTTTATAAGTGTTTGTAATTTTTATTTAAAAGGAAAAAAAATATTTATTGTAATGATTAAGAGCCTTTTTAAATCAAAACATTGTTTCGTCGCATTTTTAATATTCGCTTAGTGTTTTTCTTTCTTTTCACATTTTACTCTCGGATTTGCCTTTTTCGGTTTAGTTTGTAGAGATTTGAAGTTGTTCATGTGAATATCCGCTTAGGGATAATGCATATATAATGTATATTACCTATATATTTATTCTCATATTATTATTATAGATACATTCATATTTATTATTTTATGTATATATTATTTATGTATATTATACATAATATATTTATTTATGTTATGTATTGTTTCACAAGCTTTTAATCAATTCCATAAATCCATTATATTTCTGATGTTTCAATAATAATTATGATTATTAGTTGAGCTATATTGTCTTTCGACGTTCAAATTGTATTGCACGCAATTCAACTGCCTATACAGAATTGCAGAATTTTTGTATAGAAAATTAATTATTTTCAAAATATTCGTACGTTTGGTTATTGTTTAATAGATATTTACTGTTATTTGATTTTGACATATTTGACATGATAAGAAGACAACAAAAAAAAAATACAACATAATATCTTTATAAAATAACGAAGACAAAAACGAACTCTCGCAATGTAACAATATCAGAGTAGGTACGAGAATTCGACTATCAGTCAGGTAGATTGTTTTACAATTTATTAAGCTGTTAGAATATGAAAAAAGTAACAAGAAATATATTAATGCTCTTTATGGATGAGGTAGAGGTAGGTATAAGTATATTGTGATATCAGTTAAAACGTTGATGGACAGTTTCGTAGCCGCAATGGAAAAAAAACGATCTTTAAAACGTCAATTTTTATTACTGCTGTAGCAGTAATGCTTTTAGTACTGCTGTAGGGTTTTATGCTACAGGGCAGTGCAAAATTTTCCACTAAGATGTCGGGGGACACAACAATCTATCACATCATACCACACCATTGAAAATAGTGATGACAATTTTTGGTAGGTTTTTATGATACTGCTATAACAGTAATATTTAAAAGTGTCCCCCGACATCAATTTTTTAAATTACTGCTATGGCAGTACTGCCCACCAACGTGTTAAGTAAGTACATGGTCTTCCACAAGAAATATTGGGGAGGCATACAAAACTCAAACATCAAAAAGTACAAAGTACATTAAAAATTAATTATTTTGATCAAGAAATAGGTACCTACGTCAGGAATTTAGAACTGTGTGCAGTGTGCTAGTTGTTCGTTATATTAAATAAAAAATAAAGTATTCGTTGTTTTCGTGGAAAATGTCTCGTCTTCACTCCCCCCCCCCCCGAAGGTTAGGTTGAGTACGTCGTCCACTACGTCAGGTCATATAAACCTATATTTTCAGATTCCACATCAAAATATCTCAAAACCAAAATATCCCCGAAAAAATATTGCACTTCAAAATATTAACCTATTTATTTTTAAGTTGCTATTAGAAGTACTGATCGAGCAACAATAACCACACTTTATCTAAAGTGTTGTCGCTATCCATTATTTTGATAATGGTATCTATAGATACTAGATAGTGTGTCGTGTTATATTATGACATCACGAGCAGCGCCGGATCATAGCTTTTTAACACCCGGGGAAAATTAAAAAAATACGCCCATCTCAGGCAGATACCAGAATTAGTATTCTTTTTACGAAAAATTAAGCATAATCGCACAGTATTGCGAGGAACTGAGGACCAACATTTACAAAACCTTTCAAAATATACTGCAGAACCAATCATTTATTTACCACAAATAATTTGAACGATTTTAACTTAAAAATGAAACATTTTAAATTTTAAACTACCCACGTAATATAGTTTTAGAAGCACTTCTTAATGGTGTATTTAAAGCTAAAATCTGTGGTCAATATTTCTAAGTTCCAGGTTTAGAATAAACAATATTGATAGTAATAACATGTATGAATTATTTATTAACAAATCTAAATTAGGTATCCATTGCTTACTTTTAATATAGGACGCTTTATGTAAAAGAACAATATTTAATTTACAACAGACCTATCAATATTATACATTTTCATTTTTAATATTTGTTACAATCAAAACTTCATAATATGTACCTTGGTACGGAATAAATAGAATGAAACAAAAATGTAATTATGTACTGAAAATTGTAATATAATGATTATAACACGACAAAGAAATATTTATCATGGATTATCACTTACGGATTGAATGTACCTATATACTAAAATAACTCATTCTACATTCTACATTTTAAAAATATCCAGAATAATAAGGACATTATTTATTTATTTCTGTTTGACATCTTGAACTATAAAAATAATTTAGACAAAAACACAGTTTATAATAAAAAAAAAAACGAACCAAATAGAATATAAATTTCCTTTTAAATTATTTTAATATAATATGTAAAACATAATATTCAATCTGTCTTGGGCTACAATCAATAGGATAGTATTTTTGTTTTAATTATTTAATTATGTTGTACTTTTGTAGTATCAAGTTTATCAAGTAAATTAATAGTTGTATACTTGTACCTATTTAAAAAGCAAACACAAATGACAAATTATATTCCATTTTGTGTTCTGTTACATTTATCTAGTGGCCATGGTGATATTTATAAAAAAGTTCAGTTTATAAAAAGGCATTAATTGTTAAATACAAAGACTTTTATAAGCCTAGGTACGAACATGTAATTTAATAAATAACCTGAAAACAATTAAATCATTAGTACCTAAGTAACATTTTATGTAG